AAAGCCCCAGCATTCAAATCCTGTCTCTCCTGTGAGGCAGCTATTCCCATTGACGATGAATGCTCAGAGTGCCTCCTCTCTCAGTGAAGCACATATTCCAGATAAGTGCTTGATATGTTGCTTTTTCAAAGAGGGCACAAAAAGTGAGAGAATCCTGCCTAAAATTCTCCCACTTGGAGAAATCCGTGAGGGCATCCTCTGAGCCCAAGGGGAAAAAGACTGACAAACAGGACCTGACTGTCTCTGTGAGTGCTTTGGTAAACCATGGGTCCACTCTGATCTTCAGGGTAGCTAAGGAAGCAGGCGCTTGGGGCGGCCAATACAAAGGGGCGGCACTCCGTCCACTATTGGGGCGGCCCATCCGGGTCTTTGGTGGGAATTCGGCGGCGGGTCACTCAGTCCCTCTCTTCCTCTTTGAGCTTCTGCCAAAGTGCCGCTGAAGAGGAAGAGAGGGAGGGAAGGACCCGCTGCCGAAGTGCCGCCGAAGAATGGAGCGGCATGATTGAGCTGCCGCCAAAGTGCTGCCGATCGGCTTCCCTTTTTTTTTTTTTTTCCCCCTTTGGGGCGGCAGAAAATCTGGAGCCGGCCCTGCTAGAAACCTCCCAGGCCGCAGGCCTTGTTAAAGGCCAAAGAAGGTACTGGGGTTGCAGAGGGCAGGCCAAGGGCAGGCAGAGGCAGCAGGTCCAAACCCCCCCTTGCCGGTGATGAGTGGCCATTACAGACTGCAGTCAGTCCCAGTGAACGGGGGCTAGATGGTGACTGGCAGTAGCCACTGAGGCGAGGTGGGGATAGGGGGTTGGGAGTTCCCCCGGGAGGGGAGACCCAGATCTGTGGGGGTACTGCCAGGGGGCAGCCCCCAATGTAAAGGGGCACCGGGGTCTGGGAGGGACACAGGGGCCAGCGGCAAGGCGAGACACCGGCCTACAGAGGGCGCTCCGGAGGCTGGCGAGCTAATTCCCTGGACGACCAGCAGGAGGCGCCGCGCCGGTGAGTCATCGCCCTGCTACACCAATACTTGTAATCTCTCATAATTCAAGCCTGACCCCAGATGTACAGTAACTTCCCTCTTCACTTGTGTAAATTTGATTTTAAACATTAGCTTTAATAAAAAATTTTACATCTACAAGCAGGGAGGGTGTGGACATCACCACTCTGCCAATAAACAGTCTGTCTATGGAAATAGTACATTGATCATTGCATCACGCTAGTGGCTCTGCATCTCTCAGGATTACAAAACTCCCTAGCCGACAAGTTCAGCAGGCAATACTCAGACAATGACAAGTGTTCTGCAGAACATCTTTTGCAAGTGAGTATCCAAGAATAGACTTGTTTGCCATGAACCAGAACAACAAGTGTCAGATGTTCTGCTACTGAGAGGGTCCAACCCAGGCTCACTGTTGGATGCCTTCCTCATTCCTTAGGCATCAGACTTCATGTATGCATACCCACCTATTCCACTAATACTGAGGGTCCTGAGGAAGGTCAGACATGGTGCAGCATGATGATACTGGTAGCGCCTGCATGACCCGCACAGTTTTGATATTCAGACATGATGAATCGATCAACACAGCACCCAGCCACACTTCCAGAGCCACCTGTTGTGATAATGCAGAGCAGAGGCCAGATTCCCTACCTGGTTGCTGGCTGGCTGACGTCCATGGGCAGATCCTGCTCCATGGATGTCTATATCCATTCTTGTTTGTACTAGAAAAGATTCCACTAGACTGACTTGTGTAGCAAAATAGGACAAGTTCTCTATTTGGGAACACAAAAACACGTACTCCCATTAGAAACCTCAATACCAGCTAGTTTGGATTAAAGCCTTAAAGCATTTGAGACTTTCCATCCATTCCAGAAGAGTCCAGTCCACTTGGCAGCTATTTGTGCTCATCCTCTTCCTATTGAAGGTCACACAGTCTTCTCACACCCAACAGTTGGCTTTCTTCCAATCGGAGAGACTCCACCCTCCTGGAACTTCAACACTGTGTTATTGGCATTAATATCAGCCATCTATTGATCCTATGCCAACCTGTTCTTTTTGTCACCTGTCTATGAAACCGATCCTCTTAGTGGAAATCTCTTCAGCCCAAAGAATAGGAGAGACCCAAACCCTCATGGCAGGACCTCCTTGTACAGTATTCCGGAAGGACAAGGTGACACAAAAGCCTCACCTGAAGTTCTTGCCTAAAGTTGTCTCTGACTTTTTCACCTGAATCAAGACATCCATCTGCCAGTTTTCTTTCCCAAGCCTCATACTCGTCAAGGGGAGGTGAAGCTTCATACATTAGATGTTGTCCAGTCCTCTTACTATCTGGACAGGACAAAACCATTCAGGAGTTCCCTAGACTGTTTCTGGCCTTTGCTGACAGGATGAAAGGTCAGTCAATATCTACCCAAAGACTATCTAAATGGGTTTCTGACTGAATCAGAACTTGTTATGCAATAGTTCACTTGGAACCACCGTAGATTAGAACCCACTTTACTAGAGCTCAAACAGCCTCTGCAGCTTCCTAAGGGGCATTCCACCTTAGAGATTTGTAGAGCACCTACCTGGAGTTCAAGTCATACATTCACCCAGCACTACTTATTTGGTAGGTGGCTCCAAATCCAATGCTCAGTTTGGCAGAGCTGTCTTTATTCCCAGTAGATCCTGAGCACTCCCCTCCAGACAGAGGTCACTGCTTGTGAGGCACCAGAAATGGAAATACATGTGGGCAATCACTCAAAGAAGAAAGAATGGGCTACTTACTCTACAGTAACTGTAGTTCTTATAGAGAGATGTGTTGTCCACATTTATTCCAAGACCTGCCCTCCTCCTATATCATCTGGATTCCATTTTAGTGAAGAAATTGGAGGATAATTGCAGCTACTCCATCCTTTATTCCCTTGGCTACAGGGAATGAGAGGGCAATTCAGGGCACAGGTGTGGCCTCAAAAGAAACTGCTATTCAAAAAGAATCAGATCTTGTGAATGGGGTGCATGTACACCTGAAGTAAAATAAATGTAAAGAACATATCTCACAGAACCACAGTTACTGCAGAGTAAGTAACCATTCTTTGCAACTAACATGGTACTAAAGAAGACTTGTTATGTGGATGTTTTATAATAATTTCATTGAGGTAAAATTGGTTACAATTTTCTTATGCATGTATGTTGCACTGCATAACGCTACATGAAGTGTATTTTATTAGGAGTAAACTTTAAAATCCAACAGAGGAACCACAGCCTAAAGTAAAAAATCATAAAAGTGAACAAAATTCACATTCTCACATTGGTTATTTTTTAAGGCACTTATACCACAGTAATGAGGTAGTGTAAATACCTAGATGAGATATTTATAATGGTTCAGATGTGATCCTGTTGTTAAAAGCTCAAGACAGTCAGAAAAATATTACATAAAATGTTCATGTTTCCACAGTTCTTTATTTAAAAGATTGTTTAAATGCTTTTGCACATAAATCCCAGGATATGTTGTGACAGCTATGGTTATGTATTTTTATTCCAGATTCAAGAAATAATTATGGCTAACCGAAAAACACCCACTTTGGTCAAACCTTCTGACAGCAATAAACTGCAGACAAATATAAAAAGGTAACTTTGTTTTTTCTTTCTTTACAGCCTATATGTTTTTGCACATTAGTTATTTACTCATCAGACTATTGCTGCCAAATGAGTATATAATCGTTCAAAGTACGAAAATATTGATTTGTACAAAGTAAAACTTTACATAAAAGCTTTAGACTAATGGCCTGTCCGGTACTGTTTATAAAATGATCTGTTCCAAAAGCAGACCCAAAAAAGCGCTTATTACTACAGAGCAGTTGTGTTCCATCAACTGTCATTCAGACTATTAAGCTAGAATGCAGTAAAACCAAAATCTTTTATCGAGAACTGCCTCGATAGATCCTCTACTCTGTGCAGCACGAGTCCTAGAACCACCTAGAAAGCAATGACTTTTGGGACTGTATCACGAATCCAAATGATCAGTGGAAAATTATGTAGGCGCTACAGTTGACCTACTGCACCAATCACCACCTTTTTCCCCCCTCCATCACCATAGGCAGTGCATCATACCAGCCCATTCTATGTTGTAATAAAAGCAGTGTTTGGTAACAGTTTAAAAGTTTGTTTTTAAGATGAAAAACAACTTGTTAGTTTGTAGTACATGTTGTTTTGAGTTTAATACCGCTATTGCTTGGTTTCATTCTGTTCTGACACCGTACATGTGGATAAAAAGTTTAGGTGTAAATAGGATGTCTGTCATGGGCCTGCACACCCAGGTTTCTGAATAATCTAAGGTAGCGGCATTCCCTATGATAATCTCATTTTGCACTGGATTTACCCCTTGGCCTGTATTACTGCTGGTAATGGGGGAAACCTTTAGTACCCAGCTGTCTTTCTTCTGTACAAGTAATGTCAATGGAATGAACTCCATCCCAGTCTGGGACAGCTCTGCTCTAGAATCCAAGAAGCCAGTGCCTTTACCTAGAAACCCAAGGGTTCAAATCTACTAGCAGAACCATTTTACAGAGCTTCTGTTCTAAATGCTTATGAAAAAGAGGCAGCATGGATCCTGGGCACTCTTCTTGACCCCAGCATATAGAACCAGTGGCCAAATAGTACTGTAAGGGCAATGATTTTTTAATCGTCAAGTAGTAGTGGTGAGGTACAGCTGCAAAGGCACATCCTTTTTTGGATTACATGCATAACAAGCAGAAGATAGAATCATTACAAAGAAGCTAAATGTGTCTAGACGTTCCTTGTGAGCTCCAAGCAATGCACTTAGCAATCAGGCAATAGTGTGGCAGTGGCTAGGACAATCTGTTAGCATTGATGATTGAGGACTTCTAATCTCTTTCAGGAGGTTCATACCAAAGTGTATCAGACTTCCCTTTTTAGAAGCAATAGATCTTTTCAGCAGAAAGACAAATGAGACCCTAGAGATACTCAAGGAGACCAGTCAAGTTTCTTCTTCAGGAAGAAATATACCATCCTTCTTTAGATACTTGCTAGCACAGTCATCTCAGTTCCAAGTGTATCAAACCAATCTTCCTAAGCACCATGTGAGCTTTCAACAGGTGGGTGATCCTCTTTAGCTTCTTTGGTTCCACCTGCATAGTAGAGCATTAGACAACTGTTATAGTGGACATCCCTGAGGGCCTGCACTAAATCTGGGTACAGAATCCTAGCCATTCTTCATTTGGAAACCATCTTTCTTTTTTCCTCACAGCATTAAGTGAAAGAAGGTTCGTAGGTGGTATGGCAAGGAGGCAAATTGTGGGGCCTTTCTATAATTTCTGATACCTGATAATCCAAAGATACTCCATGCCACAAGGATAACAAGTTGTGCCCACAAAAAGGGAATCTGGGGCTCAATCCAATTGAAAATATTCTCCTAAATGCCCACAATACTTTTTGTAAACATGCCTTTTCTGAGTGCAGATATTGATTTACTTTGTTGGAGGCAAACTAAACATTTACAATCAAAACAGAAATGGGAAAGAGATACTTTGAATGTACAGAGCTTATCAAGAAAAGAAAAGGTTTTGACCCTGTAGCTGACAAGTAACTAACTAGCCAGACGTTAAAGAAATCCTGAATAGCTGTCTCTTAGATTACAGGAGAGCATTCATTACAACAATTACACTTGAGGGTTACAGAACTCTTAGCTAAATTCTTCCTCACACATACAATCTGCTAGACCACTGTTTGAAAAACTCGTTAACTCTGCTATCTTGATTACATGATAATACGGTCATCACTTCTGCTACCTATACAAGATCTATTCTGAGATTTTATACAAAACTATTATTTTTAAAGGGAAAGTAACATTTTCAGCAATTAGAGAGACAACATTTCCTTTTTGGTGGGAGGAGTCAGAGTATCAGGTTGGAGGTAAGGCAAAAATAAGTTTTAACACCCCTCTCCCCCCCCAAAACACCTTTGAACATACAAGCATGCACACCCTTGAATCTCCTTCAATAGCCCCTGGGGGGATTTATTTAGCTTGTTTCCGCTGGAATTCAGGAAAATCCTGGGACTGTTTCTATTGGACTTTGGGTCAGTAACATTTTGCTTTTAAACATCCAAAAACCTTATTCTGGGGCCATGTTTGACATGATACCATCTCTTTAATCAGAAGAGCAGATTGGGTAGGGGGAACCATAAAATGCTGCTTCAGCACAAGAATTCCAGGGGGCAGAAAGCTTTGCAGATGGGGCCTCATAGTAGCAGAGGAGCTGTGCACCACCAGCCACTTACTCAGTATTTGGAGAGGCGTCTTTCATCCCAAGTGTGCTTGTTGCAGCTTCAACTGTGGAATGGTAAATACTCCTGGAGCTGGGCCAGGGCCTTTAAACAACAGGGTTATTGTTACAAAGTGATTATTACCAGGTACATGAACTTGGACTCCTGGAGCGCCAGGCGGGCAGAGTTGGGCAAGCCCCTTCGCCTCGACTCTGCTCCCCAGTTGGAGCGCCAGGCGGGCAGAGTGGGGCAAGTCCCAGCTGGAGCACCAGGCGGCGGAGCAGAGCAAGCCCCCACACCCTGACCCCACTCCCTGACTGGAGCACCTGGCCAAGCGGGGCAAGCCCCCATGCCCCGACCCTGCTCCCTGGCTGGAATGCTGGGCGAGCAGGCGGAGCGGGGCAAGTCCCCCACGCCTTGATCCCGCTCCCTGGCTGGAGCCCCGGATGGAGCGGGTTGGGGGCACCAGGGCGCCCAAATTGGCCGGGGCCATTGGGCACAGGTCCCGTTGGCCCAGTGGCTAATCCGCTACTGATCTATGGAGGACTGTATTAGAAGAACATGGTTTATGAATCAGCTGACAAAATATGGAATACATGACGTGCTTTGTTGAGTGGGACAATGAGAAGCCAGTAAGACTCAATGGTATAGAGTTGGTCTGTACAACAATTTAAATACCTTGGTTCATTGTTGAACCATGATGGGAATGTGGATGCAGATGTTAGGAGCTGCTTTGAAGAGCGCTTTGTGTAAATGTAGGGAATTGACAGAATAAGAGTATGCCAAGTAAACTAAGGAATGAAGTGTATAAGGTCATGATAAGGGCAGTCATGACATGTGGGTTGGAATTCTGGTCAGTGAGGAACAGAGAAGAACAACTATTTCACACAGACAAACTGAGAATGCTCAGGTGGCCGCTGACTAAGATTAGAGTTGAGAGACTATACAATGAAATGGTATGAGCCATGATTCAATAGCCCCCCCATCACAGAAAAGCTGAGGGAGTAATGACTGAGATGGCTAGGTCATGTGAGACAATGAGGCATGGGATATGTTGGCCAGAGAGTACAAGAACTAGTAGTCATGGGACAAAAACCACAAGGAAGATCTAGAAAAAGGGTGGTTCAAGATGCTGAAGGAGGACCTGAAGAAGGTTGGTGTCAGCTCTGAAGGCACACTTGACAAGAACACTTGGAGATGAAGTACACAAGCCTCTGACCCCAGTTAATGGGACTAGGTGAAGAAGAATCAATCACAAATTACTGGGAATGTGTTAGAATTTTTCTGCTTTTTTAGGGTGTCCCCTGCTCCCTCTAGGCCTCCCACACAGAATGTAGATGTAGTGCTCCTTTAAATGTGAAGTTATAATAGGAATTAATTTACATCACATATCTTCTAAACATTCTCAGATGATTAATCCATAAAACAGTCTTCTTCTTAACCAATGTGCTCCAGTCCACTGATGTTTATTCAAAGGAAGAGATTTATTTCTATGCATGTCGACAAATTAGCTGTTTAATTGAATTAATTATTTTTTAAATGCTAGGTCTAAATACGACAGTGCAGAAAGTATAAGAACACTTAATCTCTGCTGATGGAGTGATAATGAAATCAATGTGTTCATTAAGAAAACAACAAATTATGCTAAGCGTTCTTTCAAAAACATCCCTAACATAGATTGAATGAATGTATTATGCATTCTAGTTTTTACTATGCTTTGAATAATTGTTCACCCCACAAAAATCGTTAAGAACCATATTGTCAAAAATAATAAGCAACAGACATACACAGAACACTCAGTTTAAATATAATGTATTTGCTTGCTAAAAAAAGGTTCTGTTCATTTCTGCTTTCCAGGGACTGTCTAATTAGGGAATTATACTGAGAATATTAAATAGTTAAAGTGAAATGATTGAGCTAAATATGACCAGAAAAGAAATCAATTGTGATCAAAAACTGTGCTACCTCAGCAGCCAGCAAATTGTATTAATTGGTAAGTCATTTTTAGATGTAAAATAAATTACAGATACCAAAAGTTCTTCTTTGAGTAGAGTCCCTATTGGTGCTCCACTGTAGGTGTAAGAAGTGTCTCTCTTGCAGCGAGGCTATCCCCGTCACAGACACACACGCATGGTGCATTCGTTGCCTCAGAGAAGGACACATTCCTCAAAAGTGCACTCTCTGCCAGCAGCATAGACCTTGGTCTCGCAAGGACAGATTGCTGAGGCAGAAGATTATATTCATGGAGGCAGCTCTCAGACCTTCTCTGGACCCGTGTCAAGAGTTTTCATGCAGCCATGAGTCTTCCCCACAGCCCTCAACATCCAAGGGCCATGGGGTGAAGAAATCAGCCGCTGACCCTTCTCAAGTCAAAAAGTAATGGGAAGTCCCTGCCGCAAGCTAGCCGCAAACAATCCCCAGCTTGTTCTATATTCTCAGTACCATCAGCACCAAGACAGGCCAAGCCTGGTACCCACGGCTCAAGGAAGACTATGGTGGCAGGTACCCAGTGGACTATGGCCCCCACAGACCCAATGGACACAGGCACCAAGTCAATGGCACCTAAGGAAAAGGACAGGAGCAAACACTCCAAGGAACCACCAGTATACAATGTCACATCGGTACCGACGTCTCTTCCGGTACCTGAACAGCCGGTGTGGACAAGATCTCCGTCCCCCCAGCATTGCCAGTGGCACTGAGTCGGTCAGCACCACCGGATTTCCGGCACTCAAGGGACCTCTGTGTAACCGATATACCAGAATCTCCTTTCCATGGTACCGGGACCTCCGCACCCGAGTCTCCACCTGGCACAGGAGTCTTTCCTGCTTCCTTGCCATGCTCACCCACTCTCAGTTCAGACTCCGATAGTGAACCAGAGAACGGGATATCACAGTACTCTTTCCAAGCAGCTCTATGGTGCCTGATTCCAGCAGGGCCCCGGGCATATCTTCAGATGGCCCCAATGCTGCTGTCCTGGTATGGCCATCCATGGGCACCACCACCAGGCTCCATGCTATACTAGGACCCCTGGCCTGCATACTGCACCCATATCTCTCAGGCTTCTAGTCCTACCCATGAGTCCATGAGACACATTTCCTCGGCCCTGGCAACCAGGGCTTTGGAGTCCCTAGAAGGAATCTTGGAGAAGTGTGAGGGCAATGTTCAGGAGGAGGCAAACCCAAAACCTATATCCTCCTATTCCTCAGACGAGGCTGTCATGTCTCTTCCACCATCCCTGGTGGATGATTTTGGCCTGTTGCAGGACCTCGCAAAGAGAGTGGCTGACTGTCTCCAGATACCTCTGGAGGAAGTCAAGGACATGCACCACAAGCTCCTGGACATCCTCCACTCATCTTCCTCTTCAAAAGTAGCCCTCCCTATGAATGAAGCCCTTCTTGACCCTGCGAGACAATATGGCAGACCCCAGCATCAGTCACACTGACTTACAAGCGAGCAGACAAAAAGTACTATGTCCCAGTGAGAGAAACAGGGTTCCTCTTCTCCCACCCTCCACCCAACACCATCGTGGTGGACGCTGTCAATTCTCGTGGCCATTAACACCACATGAGGTCCACTCCCTATGATAGGTGCTGGAAGCATCTGGACCTATTTGGCAGGAGGGCGTACTCCTTGGCCACGTTTCAGTTTCAAATCGCCAACTACCAAGCACTTATGTGAAATACCATTACATGAATTACTTGAAATAGAACACAACGTTATTGAGCAGCTGCTTGAGACACATTGTGAACAATTTAAGGCCAACATCCAAGAAGGGCAGCTAGTAGCAAAGACAATGCTACAGTCTGCCCTCAACATGGTTGATACTGAAGCCAGAGCCACCTCCACGGCAGTGGTGATGTGACATGCCTCTTGGCTCCACCTGTCAGGTTGCCCAAAGGAGGTGCAGGCAACCATCGAAGATCTTCTTCCCTTTGAGGGCACTAAGCTCTTTGCGGAGAAAACTGATGTCTCCCTTCATACTTTGAAGGATTCTCAGGCCACTCGCCATTCGCTGGGGATCTACGGACAAAAGAGAAAATTTAGTCTAAGCCCCGCACTTTGCAATATCCGGCTCAACAATACTACAAGCCACAGAGAAAGAAAACTAAATTCTCCAGACGTAAACTGTCCTGTCAGCAATCCTCCTTGTCCCAGCCTTCCACATCTAAACACCAGTTTTGACGTGTTGATCGAGGTTCTGATAGACCACTCACCACAACTGCTACAACTGACCATCGCTACCCACCCATTTGGCCACTGTCTGGCAGTGTTCTGCAGCACCTGGGAGCATATACCATCAGACCGATGGCTCCTAGAGATCATTCACCATGGATACTCTATCCATTTTACCTCCCTGCATCCTCCACCACACCATTCCCCATCCCTCTTCAGGGAGCCTTCTCACAAGAGTTTACTACGTCAAGAGGTAAACTGTCTCCTCCAGTTAGAACGATAGAACCAGTACCTCAACATCTATGAGGCAAAGAGTTCTACTCTAATACCCAGGAAGGAGGAGGGCTGGAGACCCATATTAGACCTTAGCACTCTCAACAAGTTTGTCAAAGCTTAGGAATTCAAGATGGTCACTTTAGCAACGATCATTCCAGCGTTGGAACAAGGAGACTGGTTTTCGGCCCTCGACATACGGGACGCGTATTTTCACATCTCAGTCTTATTGACTCACAGACGATTTCTCAGATTCACCCTGGGACAAAATCAACACCAGTACAGGGTACTCCCTTTCAGGTTATCTTCAGCCCCGAGAGTATTTTCCAAAGTTCTCTCAGTAGTGGTCACCCGCTTATGCTTGCAAGGGATCATGATTTTCCCTTACCTAGACGATTGCCTCAGCCCCCCAGAGGGGATGTCACCTACAATGGAGCACCCGTAGGGACACTACTCGAAGAAGAAGAGCCCCCAGTGGAGACAGCACTATGTCAATGGGAAGGCTTCTCCCGTCAACATAGCTACTACCTCTCAGGGAGGTGGAGTATCTATGCCGAGGGGAGAAGCCCTCTCTTCAGCATAGATCGTGTCTTCACTAAGCACTACAGCAGCACAGCTTCACCACTGCAGTGCTGTATGTGTATACAAGCCCTGAGACTCCCTTTTGAATTAACAATCAATTCACAATAGTGAGATTTCTTAATCCTCCTCAAAACTCATGGTGACTTCTATGGGAATTGGGGAATTTGGGAAGCAGTCCCAAATTTCTGTTGCTACATGTGATGTTGAAATGAAGTTTTATTTATAACCATCCGTTCTCCTTTGTTACAGGGAGCGAGTTGAGAAACTAGAAGTGGATCCTAGCAAATATTCATTCCCTGATGTGGCAAACATAATCCAAGAAAAGGAGCGAATTGGGCAAGGACCTATTAATCTGCAGCAACAAAAGGTTATAGACACTGAGAATAGTTATGTTGACTTTGAAGATAACCAAGATGTTCCACCCTTAATATGAAATGTTACTGTAGGGCTCCATTGTTTGTTACCCATGTGACCCAGAGTTTGCCTGAGCAGTTTTCTTGACTCAAATTTTGCAGCAGCATCTTTTGAAGTTGCAAAATATTATTTCAGCTCTTACTGTAAACTGACTTTTGTTATATTTGTGCTTTATCTTGCTGCTGCCTTTTGTTATATCAGGAACAATATGCCTTTAATAAACTGTTTTCCAATTATTTATTTATATAGTGGAATGGCTCGAAAGCACTGATCAGTATTGGGGTCCCATTGCATTTGGCACTGTACAAACCCACAGTCCAACTTCAGATAAGATGTCAAATGAGTGTGACAATCAATGAGAAGAAAGAGGAGGGTAACAGTAATAAGATCATCTGATTACATAGGCCAGGGGTCGGCAACCTCTGGCATGCGGCTCGCCAGGGTAAGCACCCTGGCGGGCCAGGCCAGTTTGTTTACCTGCCACGTCCACAGGTTCAGCCGATCGCGGCTCCCACTGTCCGCGGTTCGCCGCTCCAGGCCAATGGGGGCTGCGGGAAGCCGCAGCCAGCACATCCCTTGGCCCGCACCGCTTCCCGCAGCCCCCATTGGCCTGGGACGGCAAACTGCGGCCAGTGGGAGCCGCCATCGGCTGAACCTGCAGACGCGGCTGGTAAACAAACTGGCCCGGCCCGCCGGAGTGCTTACCCTGGCGAGCCGCGTGCCAGAGGTTGCCGACCCCTGACATAGGCTGAGCCACAGGGTGCTTAGAAGTCCCTAAGTGTTCTTCCGCTTTCTTCCCTCTTGTGCAGAGCAGCAGCAAAGAAAGTCCATCAGTTGGTTATGAAGCACATTCCCTGATGTCCCTACATTCTGGGGCTGAGAAAAGGTTGCCAGGGCCTGCCCTTTCTCATTAAAACCCCATTTGCCATACCACATTCACCCATCAGGCAAGATAGTTCCAATAGAGATAGGGAAGTGTTAGTACCATTAAAGGCACTGGTGAGACCTCATCTAGAATATTGTGTGCAGTTCTGGTCTCCCATGTTTAAGAAGGATGAATTCAATCTGGAACAGGTGCAGAGAAGGGCTACTAGGAGGATCAGAGAAATGGAAAACCTGCCTTATGAAAGGAGACTCAAAGAGCTTGGCTTGTTTAGCCTAACAAAAAGAAGACTGACGGGAGATATGATTGCTCTCTACAAATACATCAGAGGGATAAATACCAGGGAGGCAGAGGAGTTATTTAAGTTAAGCTCCAACCTTGACCCAAAAACAAATAGATATGAACTGGCCAACAAGTTTAGGCTTTAAATTAGACGACGGTTTCTAACCATCAGAGGAGTGAAGTTCTGGAACAGTCTTCCAAGAGAGCTGTCTGGGCAAAAAAACCCCTAACTGGCTTCAAGACTGCACTTGATAAGTTTATGGAGGGGATGGTTTTGACATGCCCCAGGGTGCAATCTGGACTGTGGAACCATTGTACCCCTTTTAACTTTCCTGTCCTGGCTGTCTCCTACACTGCTATGCTAGTGAACAGCAAACCCCTCCAGGATCTGTTCACTCAGCCATCAGCATGCAGAGGCACACCCAGCAAAGTTACATGAATGCTCTCCCAGGCCACTCATGAACTGCATACAAGGAGACCCCAGCAAATCCCCCCAACCCCAGTCTTGCACCCCAGAGCATCTTACACTGCTTAAGACCTTCTTGATCAATGCAAGCTCATTAATTAGTTCACCACTCCTTCAAAGGGTAGTGGACGTGCACCAGACTCTGTAATCTGAGCAGACCCCCGCAAGTACTTTAATCTAAACCAGTGAGTTTGTCTAAACATCAACATAAGTTTCTTAACTAGAGAAAGATAGATTTTACATGATTATAAGTGGTAGGCATAAAGGTCAGGGTTGGTTACATAAGAAATAAAGCAAACATGCATTCTACATCCTAAACTTTATCAGGCTAAGGAAGATTTGAATCAACCAGTTTCTCTCACCCTACTGGACTTTGCAGACACTTTTCAGCTCAGTTTATACTAACTAGAAAGCATTCTAGTTAGGATCATCCCTTCGCCCCAGTTCAAGGAAACTTCTCTGTCTTCCAAACAATCTTGCTTCCGGGTGTCAAGATGGGGGAGGAGAGAGAGGCCCTATGGTGATGTCACTGTCCCTCATTTATACCTTTCTCCAGGTGCTGGAAAAATCCATGCTGTGTCATGGGCTTAGGCAGTACCCAGGGTATATGTGAGCTGCTAACCATCCTTCATTATGGATTGTAAATTATTTCTTGCAGCTTTTGTGTACGTGAGGTTTGGCATGTGAGGCCTCTGTGTTTGCAGTTTCTTTGTCCTCTCTGAGGGGCTAGTCTATGGGCGTTTCCCAGACTCACAAGATGTTTCAGTAACTGTGACATTCTATACCTTGGGGGAGCGTCCTGTAACCCCCATATTCCTCATTTTCATATAATCGTGATCTTACATATAAAGCATGCCTTGCAAGGTATCAGGGAAAGGTTATGATCTCTGAAAGTTATTTCTCTATCCATATATGTATATCATTAATGCATATGAAGTTATGAGAATTGTGTTGTTTGGTTGTCACTAAAACATGCTGTAAGTTGGGGAATCCGCCAGATATTAGCTCCCGAGAGGCAACAGCAAGGAAAGTAACCAACACCCGGATGGGGTGTCAAACAACCCATCAATAGCTCCAGCAAGGGAGCTACAATTCAATGACTCACCTGCATGAGGCCACACCAGGGGAATTGCTCAACCTGGCCTGGAGACTCAGCAATGCCCCCAGACATGCCTGGACTTCTGCTCCCCAAGCACATGGGGCTGAGGTTATAAAACAGAACACAGTGGCCACATGTGGGGCCTTTCTCCTGCCCCCACCTATGCTGCAAGCAACAAAGATACTGAGAAGAAGACAAGACTCCAGCAGAGGAGATTAGCCCAGATTTAAGGGACAAACCTGTATATTAAGGATTGCTACATCCAGTGGGGTGAGAAAAACTGATTAATCTAGATGTTGCCCAGTCTAATAGGATTGGGAGTTTAGACTGCGTGCTTATATTTTATTTATTTTGGTAACTAACTGACTTTTTGCCTATCACTTAATATCACTTAAAATCACTTATCTTTTGCAGTCAATACATTTGTTTAACTGTTTATCTTTACCAGTGAGTTTGCCTGAAGTGTGTGGCAGATGTGCTCAGGTTTGCAAAGGCTGGTGTATGTCCAATTTCCATTGATGAAGGGTGAACCAATTAATAAATCTGCACCGCTCCCTTGACCTTTTAGCTAAGGCATTGAGCACATATGCCTGTTGTACCAGGCATTTACTATTTTTAAAATCTGCAGGTGTCAAGGCTGAATCACCACTCTGGCACCTCAAGTGCAGAAGGTGGGGGCCCACAAGGATTTTAAAAATTAATACTTGCCACTCCAGGCGTGTATTACACTCCCAAGGTTACAGCTTCTCTCTAGCCTTGGATTGGTAAACACTGCCACCACCCAAATGCAAAAAAAACCCTTTGAACCCAGGAAGGAGCACTTGGGAATTCCTCCCTGTGGGGTACCCTCAAGTCCTTTCACCCCTCCCTCCAGGGAAGAGCTGAGAAAGAAAACAAAGGAAATTAGTTGTGGCTACCAGCTAATCAAACAACATGTCCACAAAACTACTTAGGACACCAAAAATCCAATCCTGTTCTTAAAAAAGGTAAATTTTATTAAAAACAAAAAGGAAAAAATACACCTGGAACTTAGGCTTTTTGCTAGATCTTAAAAAGAAACAATTACAAAAATTAAGCATCCAAAATAGCTTTCTTGGGGGTTCAGCTTAAAGGTTACAAGCAAACAAAAGCATCTGGGGTTAGCACAGAGGAGTTCCACAAGCCAAAATAAAGAAATAAACCTGATCGCGTCTAGGTAAACATTCCTAATTTACTTACATATTTGGGAGGTTTCAAATGAGTAATTCTAGGTATTATCTGATGAATTTTCATATCTGGTTCAAGCCTTACACAGCATTGCTGCTCCGTATCTCCTTCTCCGGAAAGTTTCTTTCCCATTTTTAAAAGTTCTAGCCTTCCCATTGGCTCTTTTGGTCAGGTGCCCACTCCTTTTCTTTTACCTGTGGGCTTGGTAACCCTTTACAGGTAAAGCAAGCAGAGAACAGCTACCAAGAGGGATTTTACAGCTAACTGGTTGGCTGGGTGTCTATCAAAGGGAGCTACCCACCACTTTATTTATCACAGCAGGTCTCCTCTAGTTTAAAAGCTCCAAAAAGAGTATAAATTGAGGACCCAAAAGGATCTATATAAGCTTGTCACTAATTATCTCATAAAATAAAGAATGTTGCTATGTAAAAGAAACCCTAATGATTTGCTCCATATAAACTGGAACTTGCTTCTTCTTGCACTAAAACCTGAAATTGCTTCTTCTCCAAAGCAGTGCAAAAACAAATGAAAATGGCTATTGCTCCTTTCAAAATGAGATACTGCGAGCAAATTAAACAAAATCAGAAGAAATCAAAGAAGGTTTGTGTTTAGATGCTGCTTTCATCTTTAAGACTGAAAATTAAAAGATTAGCTGCACTCACAACTGAACCATCAAAGAAATCCTTTAAAGTGATATACATATTTCCTTAAAATAGCAACTAGGTTTGCATAGCTCCCCTAATACCATTAAAAGACAAAATGAATTTCTTGATCCTATAGTTTGTAACAAAAGTTTTGCTTTGAGCTTCTGAATGTACAGCACGTCCTTACCCAGAAGGACAGTAAACGATAAATTCATATTTGGCTTTCCAGTTCGCAGGAAAGCACTGATTTATTTTCATGGTTAATGGTGATAAAAAACTAGATTCTGCTCTCAGATTTGTGGATGCAGCTTTCATTGAAGTCAAATTCTGTACACGGAATGCATGTTGGCAGCTTCTACTAAAATCAATGTGAGCCTCTCAGCCAAGGGCAAAATTTGGCTTTGAATTATACAATATATACTTATATGAGCCTCACCTTTTAAGTAATGATTACTCGTCTAATCCACAGGGACAACTGTTAATTAATGACATTCTTATTAGATAATTGTTGTACTTT